TGGCATGCAGCTTTTGGAAATCTATAAATTGGACCTCTAATTTTCAAATTTCATTCAGTCAAATCATTATTCTCTTCTCTTACATTTTGCATAAACAAATATTTTTTCATTAAGCTCAGAGAGTACGAAATTTTTTTTGGTTCGCTGTTCTTGCTGTTAGAGTACTTCTACACCGCAAGTGAAAGATTGTTGTATCTTGGGAGGCGATTGGAGTCGACTGTAAACACCGTAGCAAGCCAAAATCGTTTTAAAGAGATAGTCGAACTCTAGCCTCAATCTACTGTTTTCTACAATTTCGTTGAGGGATTATTCGGTTTGTCATTTCCTTCTCTTAATTTCTTATTTGTTACATATCTCGCATGCTAAATAATATTTCTAACAAAAACTTCATATCGTAGACGAGGCAACAGATCAATTCTAAACATTCAAATACGAGTGCAACCTCCTTTTCTTCTTCCAAGCCAAGAAAAAACCAATACTTGAATATATAGTGAGCCAAATATCTATATGTATTTTCCATTTTTCAGAAAATTTCCATTAGTAAATATCTAGAAATAATGATATATACCGTAATCGATGAAAAAAAAAATAATGGACAACAGGATTAGCAATTGATGTATGGCTACACAATTTCATCCATATTGATTGAATAATATTTTTTCTATCCTGTGATATTCTTCCTCAAAATTTAGCCCCCAAACATGGCGATTACTTTCAGGCCACAATCTGGAGGCCTACGACCAGAGAAATTTCATGTTCAGTTAATTTCGGAGAATAACCCTGGCTGAAACTTCTTGCCTAATGCTCCCACGGCACTATTTATTCTCTCTTGCTCCTGCAACAATTCCAGGCATTCTGTAAAGTCGAAGTGTAAATGTTATCAACTCAAAACAACTAAGGGCCAGTTTGGCAAGGCTTCTGCTTTGCTTTTTGTAGAAGATTTTTTTGATTCCTTTAAAAGCTCTTTTAATCAGACAAAGCACTTCCAAAAAATTAACCAAAGAGAACCAAAAACCAATGTTCTAAAATGTATAAATCGTGATAATAATCCAAGTTCCAAGCTTTTATGAGCCTACGAGAGGCGGAGCCTAGGTGTAAGAAACGTAAAGCGTGGCTAGGCGAAGCTTAGGTGAGCTTTTCATAATGATGTTAAAAATAACTTCTTGGTATCAAAAGTAGCTTTTGACTTTTCAAAAGCCTTACCAAATCGGCCCTAAGTATCTTCGAGCAAAAAGCTTTACCTTTCCCTCAAAAGTGAGAACAAGAGGCCCTTTTCTTGATTCACGGTAACCTCCTTTGTATCCCGAGAAAGGGTAAAATTAATTAGTAACAACAAATACCAACACTCCCACTGGCACGGTGAATTATTATAAGAAGATTCTTACCAATGTAAAGATCAGGAAATTCCAGACAGATTTCTGAAAGAGGATGAGCTGCTTCCACCTGCATCATGGATCCACAGTAAACTGTTCAAGTAATCTATAAGGCAGCAGCATAGCAACGTAACGTAATGAAGAGATCTAATACACACACAGAGAGATCTTTATAGACACTCACGTCAGAAAGAGTTGTTGCCAGTCGCTGTGATACAAATGGTTCTACGGCTACTAAAAGACTGTCGGATCTCATAAATTCAATCAAACAATCCCATTCCTTGTCCATCTCAGAAACATTTGTTGCAGTAAGTATGATCACGTTTTGGCACTTGATCTACATTAAGGCAGATATAAACAAGTATTCAAACTTCCACTTCAAGATAGAGATTATACGTGTCAGGTAAAAGTAATGGCAAGAAACATGCATTTGGAAACTGCAAGGAAAAAAATATTCATAGCAGTGCATAGAAGTTAACCTTGATGATGCAAACCAAAAATATAAAAGGAACAATTAACACCAGATCAATGCATAACAAAGTCATTCGGAGGCACAAAAAAAAGGAAATTACAACTATATATCATCTGTTGACCACGTTTTTTGCAATGTTTACGTGGACGGCAGATGTCGGGCCCACTCACATTCACACAAGTAAATTCCAACACGTTTTGACCGGATATTCAGACAGAAAGGATGGCGTGTATGGACGTTGGATATGCTCTACGACGCAAGACAAAAATGTTCAAACATCGACAACATATATAAATAAACAATCATAAACAACTCAACCAAAGTAAAAGTAATCTAAACTTGAGCAAATAAATATGGAATGATTCGGAGAAGAATGAATACGGTTTGAAGTGTGAAGAGTTGCATTAGATTTAAATTTTACAAGAATTGCTTATTTATAGAATTATGACCGAAGTGGTAGCCGTTGGATAAGAACCACGTGACCTCATCTCCCAGGCCGAAGCCTCACATTACTCTGTCTGCTATGCATTTAATTCATTGTAAACAGGTCAGCCGCCCTAAATCCTAGACTGACAATCCTGAAATTCATTAATATAAATGTTACATCAATCATTCCTATAGATTATTCTAGCAAATCCCTTAAAAGACAGCAAGTGCTTCAGCCTACAAGAGAGTTTCGGACGAAGAGGGTGCTTCAGCTAAAGAAAGCTTCGGGTAGAGATAGGCTTTAGCAATATAAGAGCTTTGGGACAATGAGATCAACTTCTTCTTTGACTTCTTCATTTTGACCAATTGGTTCTTTGTTGACTTTCTCAGATCTGACTCACTGTCTCCACTAGGAGCCTCGGTGGCGAGGCGTAACATCATCATTAATCCATTTGGACTTCTCTAGAGGACGTTACATCTATTTTTCTACTGTAAACTGATTAACCAAAAAATTACTTTTGTTAGTCCGTTCACACTATATCACAAAAGTACTGAAAATGTGCCTTGTGTACATTGCAAGCCGTGTGGACATACAAAATTGCACAGCAATAAAACGCTGCAAAAACACATTTTCAAAATAACATGTGGTTATTAATGTATAATTGGAAAATGAAAAATTGCATAAACAGATAACGTCAACGTACCAAAGGCACACGAAGTTGTTCATGATGTAGCAATTCGGTGATACCCTCAGGTAACTGTGCCATCTGGTTCCAAGAAACAAGAAAATATTAGCAGGTAGAAGAGTACTTATCCCCATTCTAACTTTGCACACCCTCTAAAAGAATAAAAATTATATCCTCGTAAATGGAAGAATCTAAGACCCTGTTTGAGCCACATTATATTTTTCATTCTCATTCTTTTACTCATTTTCAACCACATGTTCTTCAATAAAATAATATTTTCTATCACATCAATAACTTTTCCTTCTTTTTCAGCCATACATTCCCCATCCCATCAACAAAAAAATGCACTCTCCACAAAAATGCCGGTCAAACAGAGGCTAAATATTGTAACTCAAAGAAGCAAGTGTGGCTTTCATTTGTCCCTAGCTTCACAAGAACGGCTTCCAAGAACTACCGGTTCGACATCCCACCGCCAAAAATAGGCAATTACTATGCATATGGCACACGTCTTAACTTCATTTTCCAGAAACCTCCCCATTCATACAATTCACGAAGTGATGTAGGATGTGTCGTCATTTTATTTTCATCAAGATGTACTATTTCTTTATTAGTTAAATTAAGAGATTAAAATGTTAATCCTAATAACTTATGTCAATTGATTTTTGATTATTATATTTACCTAAATGGTATGAACCTCATAAACAATTTAATTTTGCATTACCTCATTCCTATCCCCTGTGCACTTCTCACCAATAAGATGCCTTAAATATTCTTCAAATTCTTCATCAGGTGCCTTTGATAGATAATTGAACAAGATAACAAGGTTAGTGCTTGTAAATGTAAGCATGGTTAGAATAACAGTTCACTGGTGCTCTTTAGCATGTTTTGCCTGTTGTTGAACCATCAAAGTACCATATTAAGGACTAATAGAATGTTTTGCTAAGCTTGAAAAGTTTGTGTACCATATAAGTTTTAAACCAAAATTTTTTTATTGGTTAAATTTGAAATTAAGTAACTTTTTCTGACTTGAAAGCTATATTCTAAAAGGTGGAGCCCAAGCGGGCATAGGCGTGAAGAGGGAGCCATACATACGGAAAAGGCATGAAAAAAAGAGGTCAACCATATTTTGATGGCCTAAAATGAGGGCCTAGGCAGCAAAAGCCGTAACTAATGCAGGCTTAGTCGCCAAAAGGAACATGCCTTTTATTTTTTTCATTTTTTTTTATTTTTTAAAGTTAAACAAAAGACATTATTATTAATCATTTTAGAATAGCAAAAATAATATTAAAAATAAGGAAACGTCTTATTATGCCAAGGCTTCCCCTAGGCATACCTAAGCTCGTAAGGCTTGAGGCTCGGTCTTGTCACGCATTAAGCTTTTTGGAACCTTTCTTAAAAAGTAAGAAAAATAAATGAAAATATGTTCGGAAAAAAAGAACTTTTAATCTGTTTTAGAAGCTTAGATAAACATGCTATGATAAATATCTTAACAAAAGATACAACTAACCATGCGAACACCAAAAGCTTTTGCGACTCCGGCTACAGTGACATCTGAATGCAATGGACCAACTCCTCCATATATGAACACCTGAGAATATCAGCTTAAAGTTTATCCACATTTAACAGAAAATCATTGCTACTGCCTTTATGATGTGAAATTACTAAAGGAGCAAGTCTCTCTCACACACAACACACACATGCGCGCAGAGAAATTGAATGCAATTTTTTACCATGTCGTTTCTTGACTTTTGCCTCTCGACTTCCTCAGCAACAGAATCGACCTGGATTCAAAGAGGATGTCATATGAATTTGTTCATAGAACACAAAGTTGAAGGACACACATTTTAAAACTTCACTAATATTCAACTTCAGTTACCAAATATGCAAATTCATTTATAAACATACAACTTACATCATTTTGGGTTACAGCAAATTGGGAGACAGCCCAACCTATGGAATGGAGCTTTCTACACAAAGTTGATCCTAATCGATCCTCAACAGTGCCAAACCTGAGCTATGGAATCAATAGAGAATATCATATACAAAATGATAGGGATTGCACATGATAGTCATAGAAAAATTTATATGATCGCTCATGCAGACCACTATTTTGCACTAGATATGCAAAATGAAGTGTCCTTAGTTTTCATGTAGATTTTTCATGCCAGGATATCAGGCATAAGTCACTGAGTTGTAAAGTCAAAAATCACACAAGACAGAGTATAATGAATGTAGAAATAAATGATTTAACGAGTTGTTTGTTGGAAAAATGTTAAACCTTTGCACAGAATCAACATGATCAGGAAGACAGGGAATTTATTCTATGGATATTTATGATTACATTTCCGAAAGAAAAGCAGATACAGTGTAGTTGAGACAGCAAGCATAAATTATTTATGCATATTATTGACACTTGGGAGGAAATAGGGTTGTAGAGAGAAGTCAGACAGGTGAATTTTATAACTAAACACACAGGACGCAACTATACTTGACCCGTCTGTTGACATATTAATTTAGAACCACATCACATTGGCATGGCGGTCATGGAATGAATGACTTGTAAAGGAAGTCGACGAGGAAACTTGTCAAATAAAGCAAACAACGAACTTACAGAATTTCATCTCCCACAGCAATGACTGTGGCTGTGAGCATGCATTTCCGATGTGGATCCTCACTTTTCAAACCATTGCTAATCGCAGATAATGGCGGAGAAGAGAATTTTTTTATTCTACCTGCTCTTTCCAATCTTCCATCCGGAAGCAGGTATGCAGGTTTGAATTTCTCTTCACCGTTGTTGGAGTTGCCAATGGACAACAAAGCATTAGGGACTGTGTCATGAATGCTACCAATTGAAGTATAACTACAAAAATTGAACAAATTTACGTAAACACAAAATTCTGCCAAACAACTCAAAGAAACTCAGAATGACTGAAGACAAACTGTGCTATATACAATTGTTGTATGACCCAAAAACTTCATGACAATTGAAAAAAGAGAAAGCCAACACCTGAAGATATGATCTCTCTCAAATAAATACTAAGGAACATGTCCTACACACTAAAAATTACAATATTCCCATTCAACAAAATTACAAACCATTCGAGCAAATAAGGTTTACCCCTGATCGTAAAGGCTGCAATATTGAACCTTGCAAGTCAAGAGGAAAGCCCAAATATCTCTGCAAGATTAACATTAATGGTTAAACCTTTGTATTGATGCAGAATACAAGCCAAGTAAGAAAAGTATCACACTCAACTTAGCTACAGCCATGAAGAGAATGAATCAACCAAATACAAATATGGCTTGTTCACTAAAATGTCTCTAATACTGCGTGTAGAGATGTAAAGTGGAGCTTTGGCTGCTTTGCCAATGGCCATTTTTTTATGAGAGGTCATATTATTGGATGACTCAAGACTAAGTCATAGATCTTGCTTACTACGTGGGATCAAGGAGAAAGGAAGGAAAAGCTGTGTAATATGCTAGAAATGAAACTGTTATTAAGTTCCAACAAAAGGTTTGATTGCATGCTACGTCATAAAATGTCAAATCTAACATATTTTCATTACTCCTTGCTTTCCCAATGAGCAAAGCATGCATGATAACCCTACATGACACACTGTATGTATCAAAACATAGTTCTTGCATCAACTAAAGGTTCCAGATATAAACCTCATTTCAGCAAATATGAATGCATACTGCCATATCAAATGCTAATCTTCATTTGCAATTGAGTAAGTTGCTTCCATTCACACAATGTATAGGAGTTTTATAAGCATAGATATACCTGTACGACCAATCAAGGATTGGATTCACTCTCATGAAAGGCGGCCATCCAGGCGAGCTGGGAGAGAACTGCTCTTGACCTACCTGTAAAATTGATATCAGACATAACAGCAAACTCTTCAGCACTCATTCTTGAACGTACTTGTGCAGAAATTAGAAGTTAATTTGCAAGGTATAAAATTTCATGAAATACCGCAGTAGGGTCTCCAATTCGGACACCAAGAAAAATAGCTCTTATGGGCTTAGCTGTTAAAAGAGCCTCCAGGCCTGACTTGAAATCCAGGCGAACGATGTTCATTTGCAATTTGAAACTGTCAAAGTTTATCCATTAGTCTAAAAACCAATTGCAAGTAAGATGTCATGGACAGCAACGAGGGGGGAGAGCAAATGCAAAATTTTGAATACCAAAAATCACAGGAAAAGGAAAAAAGAGGACGAGCAGAAACAACATAAGAAACATATTTGCTCACTTACAAAGTGGCTGTGTCATAAGTGAATGAATTAATTTCTGGGAACGCAGATGGACTCTCAAAATAAATTATTCGTATTGGAAATGTGATTTCATAGTCATCAGGATCACCAGTAGAATGATCTTTTCCAGACTTGTACAAATAATAGCCTGCCCTGAGTAGGTGCAACAGAACCTATAAGAGTAGAATTTTGCACCATTAGAACTTTCTTAAAATTGGAGAGAGAATGAAATTGAAAGTTTGGGAAAAGACAACGTATCCGTAAAAGAACTCACTGTTGAATCTTTTCCTCCATTGAAGCTGAAGGCAACTTCTTCAATACTGGGGAAAACAATTTAACTGCTTAATTCACTTTTCCTTAAGTCAATTTGATCAGAAAGGTAAAAAATCCATTCTATATATATATATATATATAGGATAATGCTAAAGGTACATAATGATCTACATAAGGGTCTACATAATGCAGATGTGGCAATCATCCGGTGGTTGATGTGTAAGTGTCATATTTGAATTAAAGTTAGGATCACATGCTACATATGTATTATGTAGACCCTTATGTAGATCTTTNGCCACATATGCATTATGTAGACCTTATGTAGATCCTTATGTACCCCTAGCATTGTCCATATATATATATATATGAACAGCTATGTCATGAAACATAACAGCATGTAAATGCTCAATAATTCAACTAAAACAAGCCCAAGAACAATAAGAAAACTTCTATAATTTAAGTTTGGAGAAAATCACGCCAGTCCATCTTCCACTTGGATTTTTATCATTCACTCTGAGACAGAATCCTTGCAGTTTTTTTCAAATGCTTTTTATTTTTTCTTCCATTAAGATATTTCCAAAAGTAAAATTTCCTAACATAAGCGGGGACAGGCACAATTGTAGCAGTGGGGGAAGGAAGAATTTATTGTTTTCAATGAATTCGTGTTATTCATTTCTCTTCAACTTGATGCAGATATTATGACAATCTAGAAGAGAACGACATAGGTGAGTACTGTTGAATTTAAAATCAAGTATATTTGAGAGGCAAGTATATACTAATCAAGATGTTGCTTTTTCTCATTAACTCATTTTTTCACTCCTATCCAAAGAAATTTGAATAAAATTTCAGAAGGGTGTCAGTCAAGGTAACTCGTGAATTAATAGTTCAAGCACGTATGACAGCTGCTATTATAACATTGTTAAAAACTTGAGATTCCTTCTAATTTGCATGCTTCATTTTCTTTCGATAAGTACCAGTATGCCACTCACTGAACAACAGAAAAAATGGGGTTTATTCTACTACTCTAGTATCTAACTTGACATGCACGTGGCCAAGGCAAATGGCCAACACCAATCGGATCCTCTACAGAGTCTGGGAGCTGCGATACATAAGCAATAATTTTCCTTCTCACTTGGTTTTCAATAACCAACAACAAATATCATTCCATAAATTTGTATCACTTGAATTTCACCTACTTCATTCTATCTGTTCTTATTTAAATCACACCTCCACTAAATCATATTTCTGACCCCCCTCCCTTACCATAGAAAACCCTTGCAACATGAGAAAATGTACTGTGTTTTAAAGGTTGGGAAGAGATTGCATACTATAATTAATGTATATGTTGAGAAATGAGGAAGATACAGGATAACTCCAATACGAATTTGTTGAAAACGATACGAGATTATAAGCACGATACGAAGTAAAGATCACAAACTCATGAGAATAATATAATTTGCAGAGTAGATGAGATTTCACTAAAATATGGAAAAAGAATTACAATAATTTGTGTTACACTTTGTCTAATTAATAATGGGGATAACTGAACCTCCAATAAGGTTAAACCAATCTATAATGAGATTAACAACCAAAAATGAGGTAAAACCAACCCAAATAAATTGTAAAAAAGAGTCAAATATATATAGGGAACAATCCAAACCCTAGAAGTAGAGTTGTAGATGAAATAGAATGTCTAAAAGTTTCCTCATGTCGATCTCTTCAAATCCAACACAAATTTCAACTCCCAATAGGGTTTCCAAGTAAAATTTCAACTAGAATTTGCCAAATAGACTGTGAATAGGATTCCAAAAGCATTCCAAATATAATTTTCCTTAACGTGCACTTTAATTAAAATTCTCAGTTATCTTCAACAAAGAATTCAGGTCACGTCCTAATTCTAACAAATTCCACCTTAACACGAATTCCACTGCAGTAAACAAATTTTAAGGATTTTCCACCTGAAGAAAAATTACACTGAAAGGAATAAACTTCAACTCTTCTGTAAAACACAAACAAAATCTCCATCAAAATTGCCAACTGAAAATTTTCTCCACCTCTGTAACCCAACTAGGGACAAAAGTGATCTGATGATCATCAAACAAGGTTTGAAATAAGCCATGTAAGAATCATAACTGAATGTATCGGAAAAAATGATTTTGGCTAGAATCAATACCCTTAACCGCATTACAACCATCAACTAAATCGGTAGAATGGTAAATATGTGGAGTCTTATGGCCACAAATGGGTTTGTCACTAGCAACTGAATACAATGACATCGTCGATAATGATGGCAAGACGGATTTACCCATAACTTCTAATTCAACTGAGACATATTCTTCAAAGAAGACTCCAAATTGGACTCCAATGGTACATAATCAGACCTTAAATCCAACTGAGTCCTTAAAATATGCTGATCCATCAAAGATTATATATAACGCTACAAAACACATAACAAAAAATAGCTCATTTATGAACTTTCAAGACTCTGCCTCCACCAATATACTTGTACCCTTTTGAAACAAGAGTACCGAAGGAGATAAGATTTATGTTCAAATCTGGAATGTGTCTCACTGCATCAAGTGTTCTAACCGTCCCATCTAACAACTTTATTCCGACTCGAACAATACCAACTATCCAACAAAGTGTATTATTTTCCATTACTAGAACACCTTTCGAAATTGTTTCATATGTTGAATACGAATTCCAATTGGGATACATAAGTGCAAGCTCTATCAAAAATCCAATTCTCGTCAGGTTTGGAATAGTAGTCAGAATTAAGTAAAAAAAAGTTCACCATCACTATGAAAAGTTTCAACAATAGTTTCACCTAAAGTATCTAATTGCTTTCCCTTCTAAAAAAGCTGCAGTCAGATTTTCTCTATTTTACAACTTATAGCAATCAATAATTAACTGCCCCAAATTCTTGTAATAAAATTTGAAGTTAGACCTTAATTTGCCCATTTCACAAACATTATAAAAAAAGCCCATCTCCACGAGTCTTAGTTTCAACGAGATCCTTCATCTTCTCATTTGAATATAAAGCATCATAAGCTTCTTCAATAGTGAGATCACGACTATATAAATCGTGTCTTTAAACAAAAAATATGAAGTGGGCAAAAACATAACAAAATCAATCCCATATAATCTAGCACTGGTCACCTACTAATCTACCACAACAAAAATCTAGTATTTGGATCCAATAGCAGAATATCAAACTTCAAGGTTGCCATCACAAAAGATCAAGCTAAGCTTTTTAACTTGATCAAAACCACGATCTCCCAAGAATTTTCGAGCCTTTTGCTCTGATACCAGTTTATTTAGAATCACGGAAGATACTGGATAACTCCAATACTAATTTCTTGAAAGCGATACGAGATTTTAGGCACAATATAAAGTAAAGATCACAAACTTACAAGAAGAATATAACTTGCATAGTAAACAAGATTTCACTAAAATATGGAAAAAGAATTACAAATATTTGTTTTTACAACTTATCTAACTAATAATAGGGATAAACAAACCTCCAATAAAGTAAAACCAAGCTATAATGAGGTTAACAACACATAATCGGATAAAACCAACCCAACTAAATTGTAGAGAAGCATCAAATATATATGGGGACCAATTCAAGCCTTGAAAGTAGAGTTGTGGATGAAATAGAATGTCCAAAAGTTTTCTTATCTTGATCTCTTCAAGACTAACACAAATTACAACTCCCAATCGGGATTAAATAGATCTTCAACTAAAATTTGCCAAATAAACTTTGAATAGGATTCCAAAAACATTTCAATTAGAATTCCCCTTAACGAGCAGTTTAATTAGAATTCTCAATTATTTTCAACAACTGAATTCGGGTCACATCCAAATTCTAAGAATATATTATATCAGCTTTATATCTTAAATGTATTGGCATAATCTCGAGACAACAAATCGGTTCGTTTTAGTATGATGTGTTTCAAATATATTAGCAGCAGGAGAGATCAATTTCTAACTGAAAATAATCCTTCCCGCAATATCAACACATAATTCAAACATAAAAAATATAATAAAAAAATAATCAAAACCTTGTAGCCCTAAACCTCTTTCATAAATAGACAAACAATTTCAATTTTATATTTTTTTGAAAAAAAAAATGATACCGAAACAGAAAAAATAGATAAAAGATTCAAATTTGAAGAAAGTGAAATGGGGCCTACGAGTAAAGAGCAAGAGCCCTTTGGATAACATAGATAGCATTGTTGTACTTGGTCTTCAGCCTTCGATCATCGCTTTCTCTTACTGCCTTATCAATCTCCATATCTGGCTATATATTCTTTGAGACCTTCTGAATGTAGGAAAAAAAATCAAATTTCACCTACCAGTTGAAAAGTCCTTTTGAAGTGAACTGAATTGCATTTATAAAAATATGCGAATTCAAGAAATCTTCTTTCTGTGATATGTTTTAACAATGGGATTAACCAATCTATTTGCTTTTCAGTAAACATATTATTTATGAAATCGAAAATCAGTAACAAGTAAAATAAATCAATCTTCAAGCTAAATAAAGAAAGATGGTAAATCTAAAAGGCTTTAACAATGTAATTCACCTTGCGTTGAAGGAAGAACGCGAAGGGCAATTCAAGAACAAGAAAACATATGTGAATTTATGACCCTTTTATATAAATTTGCGTTTGAAAGTGTTAAAGAACGAAAATTTTCACCTTTGTGATGTTATGCTGAAGAGCTCTAGCGCAGATGTTGGTAGGCTCAAAAATTGGAGAAAGATTTCCCTTTTTTGTTGGACTAATTATTGTGAAAAGGATTTGGACATAAAAAAAGAAAGGAATTTTCCACATAAAAAAATAAAGGAATTAGATTAGATACCACGGTTTGTTTGTTTATATTGCATTTTGTTTGATAAATAAAATGGAATATTCCTCAAAGGATAAAATTAAAGGCAAAAGGCTGAAAAATCAAGGGAAAATGTCCTCAAAAGTCAAAATATTGACCGAAATAGGAAATTGCTAAGGATGGACAAAATAAAAACGTGTGAATTTCATCTAGGTTTCTTTACTTGATTAACTTGTTCAAGTTATTTTAATTACGTTAAATATATTTTTGAATCGGTCAAAAATTTCTTTCACTAATGGAATTGCGGTTCAATTTTGAAGGTTATAGACTGGCCTTATGTGAGATTTAAACATTATTATATATAAATTAGGTGATATATCGATGTTACAGTAATTAAAAATAACGTGGTTTAATAATCCATTTATGATACTACTCCTTAAGAGGGTGTTTGGTGATAATTAAAATTAGATTTTTAATGTATTGTGATAGAAGTTTTTGAAATATGTGGTTGAAAATATGTGATAGCAATGAAAGATGTGGTTAATATTGATTATTTGACATTGATTTAGATTAAAATCAAATTTTAACTCTGCTCAAACATGCTCTAAATGTCCCTTTATAAGACTAAGTTGGGATGTTTTGTTTATCTTTAAAAGCAAGATCAAATATTAGATAAGTTTGATTAATTTTAACCATGAGAACATTAATAATGAAATGGAACCTTTTTTAGTGCTTATTTGGAAAATGTTAAAAAGTTACTAAAAATTAGGTTAAAAGTTACCAATTAATTTTACGTTTATGAAATCCACAACTTTTATCAACTTTTCAACCATATATTTCATTAACTTTTATCAAAATCTGCTAATTTTTTTATCAAAAGTTTATTCAAACAACCCCTTAATGAGATTGCACGAGTGATGGTCTAAACTAGAATATTTTATTGTTATGGGAGAATATATCATTAGAAAAAGAAGGTTTAATACTTTTGAAAAGTCGGAAATATTCTTTCGAGATAATTTTAAAAAAAAAAAGGTAGCATCTTTAGTTGAGAAATGAAAATGACTAGGAATGGAACTTGGAAATGTTTAGGCTCAAAAGGAAATTGTAAGGAAAAGTATTGTGGAGTTTGTTTCACGGCAAAACCTAAGTGCTTGTTTGGGTTATATTATAAGTTATTAAAATTATAATTTGATAGATAAATAGATAATAATTATGGGTTCTGAAAATATATCATTAAAATTAAAATTTGATATATAAATTATAATGAAATTATAGTCTCTGTTTGGTCGTCTTTTTTTGGAAAAATATTGTTTTGAATAGTGAATTTTTGAAAAAAATGTGTAACTAAAAGGTCGGAAAAATTTTTATATTTACGTATAAAATATTTTATTTTGTAAACATTTGCTTAAAAATGAGTATGTAAAAAAACAATTTTGAAAATATGAGAGAAAAATATGTTCATAATGAAATGCAAAAGCTTGGGTGCAAAATCCAACATGATTTCCATTTTCCACAACCTACCTATGCAGCTAAGCAATTTCCTAGAACCCAATGAAGAAAGAATTTAACAAATTCAAGTCAATGATTATCATCTGCGTTGACTTTGACCGTGGGAATTTCTCGTCAGTTTCATATCCATTAGTACCTTCTTCACATGTGGCCCAATTGCCTTGATGAGCCCGTGTTGCTTTTCCCTCGGTCGACTGATGGTTTGCTTCCCACTCTTGATTGCTTCTTTCTCAGGTTCCACATTTCGTATTAGTAAAACAGTCTCATTCGCTCATTTCTCGTGTTTTTTTATTTGATTAGACCCGGTAAACTTTTATCTTCCAATCTAACTTGTGTTCGGGGAATAATCGTATAGTGTTGGCTTCTATGGTAAATCAATTGGGGGCGGTAAGAGGTTGTGGTTTATCCTACGACGAATATAAGCGATTAGAGTCCGCTTATTTCCAACTCAAGAACTTAGCGGATACAAAATTATGCTCGTTTTGTTTTACTAAAATCATATTTTTAGTAAAATTTAATAAAAAATGATAAAATATATGTTTGAAAAGTTGATAAAAGTTGTAGATTTCATAAAATATGTGGTTAAAAATAAATTTGAAGGAAGTATACATTTTAAAAAATTAAGATCAGTCAGACCGAATAATGTTATTTATACAAATTGAAGATCATCATTCCTAAGAACAAATGCATTTTCATGGTTCCAATATTTTTTGATAAAGTCACTAGTGAAAANATACATTTTAAAAAATTAAGATCAGACAGACCGAATAATGTTATTTATACAAATTGAAGATCATCATTCCTAACAACTAATGCATTTTCATGGTTCCAATATTTTTTGATAAAGTCGCTAGTGAAAAAAATGAAGTCAACAATCATAATTCTAAACATTCTATAGACAAGATTGTTTTATGTTAAATTTCGATGTGATCCGAATTATATTTTGGAGGTATAATTAGAATTGGTTGTTTGTATTGGAAAAGTCTTGAAGAAGTAAAAGACGACAATGAAAATGCTTCTTGATTATGGCAGTTTTTTCCCTCATATTTCAACTCAAATACTCTGTTATTGATTTTACCTATTGTAATAGGACTTCATCTTGTGTTAGACTCTTATTTGTATTAATTATCCTAGTATGTTAGGGATTCTTGTATTATAAATATGCGGTACATCACACATATTTATTTGATCTATTCGGAGAGTAATCCAAAGAATTCCAAATTAATATAGAGAGAGAATCACAAATACAGAGATCATGACAGAGTCTTGTAAAATCAAGTATAATATATTGTAACTCTTTATTTTTGATATAGTCAATTCTCCTACGTTTTTTCCCGTCTTGAGTTTCACGTAAATTTTGTGTTTTTGTAATTGTTATTTTCATCTTGTCCATTATGTCATCTTTAATATTCAACAATTGGCTAAGTGATATCAGAGTCAATGTTCAACAGTTCATAAAAGAGCCCAATTTGGTTTTATATTAGAGCGAGATTTGATTAACTTAGAACGAGATTTGATTGTTTTGGGATGGCAAGTACGAATAAGGGGCTAAATTTTTGTGTGAAATTGATTTTTTTTTTTTTTTGTAAGAATTGATTTTCTTAAAAAATAATTTTTTGGAGAACGTATGATTTAAAATGTGTGAAGAAAAAATGATTTTCAAATAAGTTTCAAATAGTGGTTAAAATTAGAGAGCTAACGACTATTGAGAAGTTACAATTTCTACAATCATTTTTTGAAAAAAAATAACAGAAGTTTTTCTTTGACAATGTGAATCACATATTTATTTAATTAGTGCAAATTGGTCCTTTTTTCTTTTTTTTGAAAAGCAGTGAACACTTGTTTTACCCGAATAAAATTATCCATATTTTCGTCAAACAGTTACATCTATATATATATAAAAACAGAAGTGCCGTCAAAAAAAATTT